CTATATAGAGAATAAAGTAAGTACAATTATTCTAATTAAAATATTTTATTTTAATTTTCTCTATTTTGATATAATTTTTGGTTAATGCATTACTTTAAAATAAAACAAAGGAAGCTTTCCTTTCAACTTCCATAAAAAACATAGATGAAAGTATTAAATACCTAAAAAGGGAAATACAAAATGTCTTGTCTTATGTAATTAATGAGGGAAGTTTCTTTTGTGCTATTGGGTAACGTTTTACTGTTGGCATCAATTCAAGACAAGTCTTTTTCCTTCACCTACCAAGCTTCACAAGTTCCAACAATCAACAACATTGAATATACAACACCCATCCCTTATATGTAATTATACTAATTCATTAATTTACCCGAACAATTAAATTACTAATTAATTACACTGCTTTATGGATGTTTACTTTCCACCCTATGCTTCTTAATGAGAGTCCTCCCAACTTATCTTAAAACTTCGAATTTAATTTTTACCTTTCCATCAATGACACACATGATTTATTACCATATATTAACATTTAATACGTAACACTCACTTAAGCTTAAACCTTTTAGTTGTTTTTTATTATGTGAAATTTTTCTCAGTTTGATCTCATTTTCATTAGAATTTTCAATTGAGTCTTTATAAGTGCTAATTTGAATCAATTAAGTCACTGCCGTTAAATTTAGTTAACGGGATTAAATTTTTGCACAGGTAAAAGATTGATGTGTCAAATTTTTAAGACGTAACATGGTGAGAGTTGAAACGTGGCATGATTTAGGCCTGCGTGAAATTTTGGTAAAATGTAATAATATAATATTAGATTTCTGAAATGGGATTTAGGGTTCAATCAAATTGAATGAGATTAAAAATCTGAGAAGTGGTTGTAGATCAAACGAAGGGATGAAGATTAAGTGGTTGTAGATCTGAGAAGTGGTTGTTGATCAAATCCACCCTAATTGCATTTCAGCAAATTGGGGAAAATTGTTCCTTCCGGCTCTTACTGCGGCTAAGTGAGATGGTGCACTACCGCGACGTGGGTTTGGCTAACTAATGAAGGATTGCTCATCGCTGCTAATGGTGCGACATTGCTACTGGGTCGCACTAAGGAATCTATTTCTGGTTCTTTGCTTTCCTTGTAGGTTTTGAAATCTCTGAAAAAGGAAGAACATGGAATCGGTGGCGCGATTCTGAGAAGTTGTTTCTTGCAGGGTTTGCCGTCAGATCTATGGAGAAGAAGTTCTTGGTGGTTATGGACACTTCTGATTTTCTGATCTCAAGTGAAAGTGGCGTCGATGTATGCTACTGCGATTTTGGGTTGTGCGACTGTGAGGAGGAGAAGACTCGCGATTTCAAGGAGAGTGCAGTTTGTTTTTTTTTTTTTTTTTTTTTTTTTTTTTTTTTTTGCGTTTTCCTTCGTTTCTTTCTGGATTTTGGGAAATACAGGTGCTTAGGAGATTGCACGAGGAGATTTGCGGTGGTGCTCTGGATGCTGTTTGGGTTTTTCTGGGTTGGGTTTTTACTGGGAATACCAGCAAAGTCTAAGTCTATTAGATTCTTCTCAGATATCAATCTCCTTTCTTCTTTTGACAATAAGATTTCTCCAACCGCGTGTTCCTTTTCACACTCTAAATTTCCCAATCCCTGAAGTGCTTTTTGGTCATCCTCTGTTCATTTAATGACACAAATTTACTTTCATCTTCTTTGCCACCTGTAGCTTCTTCTTCCTCTTCTATGAACCCTAAAGTCCGCAATTCAGAAATTCATACTATTATTAATTTAAAAAGTTGCTAAATTTCCATGTTCAACTTCATATGCCACATTTAAAAAATTACACACATCAATCTTTCACCTGATGCAAAACTAACTAAATTTAACGGCAAGAGCCTCAATTGATTCAATTAGCACTTATACGACTCACTTGGGCTAATAATAAATGATCAAACTGGTAAAAAAACCCACATAATAAAAACCACTAAAGGGTTTAATAAAACATCCTTTAAAATACACTATATTCGGACTCAACTTACAAATCATAATTAATTTCATTCAAATAAAATAAGTAGGTAAATGGTCACTTTTTTTTAATCAAATTAGTGCATAAATTAATGTTTTATTTATGGATGTAATAAATTTATTTGATGTAATATATTAATTTTATAAATTGTTGTAATAAATCTATCACTTTAAATATTAAAATAATTATCAGTTATTTATATGTTCTTTTCATTTATTTCATAATTATTCAATTTTAACTTACGCGAATATATCTATATATATATATATATATATCTATCTATTTCTTTTTCATTTTCCCGTATGTTTTTCTAACATTATTTTTCCCACAAATTAAATATGCAAATATTAAATAATTAAGAAATAAATAATAAAATATAATAATATATAAAAAAAGTTATAATAAAATGTATAAACATATGTTAATCAACTTTCAATGAATGTTGGTCAATATCATAAACTATTAAGTTTTGTATTTGAGCTATATGGTTAACTATCAAGAAAAGACGAGAAACAAATGAAAGAACATCACGTAAACAATGTACGTTTAATATATATCAATACAAATTAAATATAAACAAAAACTATAAAATAAATACAAACATCAACTAATTACACAAAAATATTTTTTTTTGAAACGTCACTAAATTGAATAGGTTCCCTTTAAAAAATAAATAATTATCATTTCATCTAGCTTTATTTGGTATTTATAATTTTTATTAAATGAAATAAAGTAATTTAGTCCCTGTAATTTAATTAAGGCTATGTAATGTCGTGAACTAGAGTATTTTTCAATGAATTTAACTTAACATGTGCAAAATCATTTCTTAATTTTTAGTTTTTATAATTAAGTTTTAGAATCAAATATATAATTAATTTTTTAAGAACTTATATTTGTTTTGAACTTTTTTTTTTGTTGTTGTTTTTTGTTGAACTTGTTTATTTGGGTGAACTTGGTTTCTTGTTATTATTGTTTTTTTTGTTTGTTATGATACTATAATACACATAATTCATGCTTTGTAAAATACCAAAAATTGAAATTTGTTGTTTTTCTGCTTTGCAGGTAATGTAGAGTTGTAAAAAAATATTACAATTAATTAAAAAAACAAAAAAAAACGTTTAACATCGAATATTAACAAAATTCGATGTCGATTTCATTAACCTTGAATTTTTTAAATTCGACGTCAATTTAACGTACGTTAACCTTACATTCAACATGAAAAGCAAAAAAATAACGACATCACAACAAATATTATATATACACATTGAAGGTGTATAAGTATTTAACATTATTATTTAATATATATATATATATATATATATATATATAATTCATTTGTATATTTAAATGAATATCATAAAAATCCATAAAAATAATTATGATGGATTAATTAGCAACATGCATTAAATTCAATACTCAAGGTTTTGTTCACTTGAATGAATTTGAGGAAGAGTAATTGAATGGATTTGAGAGGATTTGAAGGTAAATTTTTTTCTTGTTTATTTGAGGTAAATTTGGAAGTAAATTTTTTTAATATGTTACATCAATCAAATTTTACACTAATCGTCACAAATTTTACTTCCAAATCCATTCTTACTTACCTCTAAATTTACTCAAATAAACAACAAAAAAATTTACTTTCAAATCTCCTCCAAATCCATTCAGTTAGTCTCCTCCAAATTCATTCAAGTGAACAAAGCCTAAATAACTTATCTAAAATGGACAAAATGAGTATTAACTATTTTATGCATTATTTCATGCCTTATGAACATAAATGATAAATAAAATTTTTAAAATAATAAATAACGTCATAAATTCATAACAGATACATGTGTGTATGAAATTTATATATAATATTTAAGTAATATTTCAAATAACACAAATATATAATAAATTCTAATGCTGTCAAAATGAGTTGTAATGTGCGAGTCAACTCGGTCCACCATGGGTTTGAGCTGGGTTGAGTTTAAAAAAAAATCTATTTTATGCGGGTTAATTTTCAATTCGGCTTACTAAGTACTCGGCTCACCAAGTTGAATCCGTGGTGAGCCGGATGGTCGGGTTGACCATCAATCCACCTAATTTAATTTAATTATTTATTATTTTGTATTTCAATATTATTAATTAATTTTTTTTATTATATTGTAAATGAAATAAAAAAGAGATGTTTCAAGAAGAAAAACATTATAGATTTATCTATTCAAGATTCTAAAATTTAAATGGACAATGATACAAAAGTATTAATAGTGAAAACTTATTTGTTCGCCTGTGCTTATTTTTTTGGATTACGCTTGGATTGTATGATACTTTTTTTTTTTATTTTGAATTGTCTTCAGTTAACATCATTTAAGAAGAAATTTATTTCGATTTGAATTAAAAAATTTATATTTATTTTTATTTTATAAAAAACTTATAATTAAGGAAGCTTAATTCACCAACCCGTAGTAGATCGGGTCGGATTCGAATATTTTCAATTTGTTTATAAGTGAGCCGAATTGGTTTAGCTCATGACCAACCTGTGGTGGGTCTGGCCGGGTCAAGCCGAATTACTTGTTTTTGACCGCTCTAAATAAATTCAATAGCCCTAACCATTTAATTCTGTGAAAAATAGAAAATGGCACATTTAAAAAAAAAAATCTGAGGTGACGATATACTTGTATTATTTTTTATTCTGATACTTACTTAACACTAAGCACCTTGTATTTTTTATTTTAAATTCTGAAATAATTTTTAAAAACATTAAAATACTCAAATACTATAAAAATCAAAACTTTTTATTAAGTTCTGTCAGAAAAATTGAGAGAAGTAAATGTATAATTTTGCTTTAAATTGTTTTAGTAACAGTAAACAAATTAGGACAATATTAAATGGCGGGGTTGAGAAAAATCTATAATTCAAACATTAACAGCCCTAGAAATAAGCAGAGTAGGCTACGTCACGCGGGATACACCGAGTCTTGGTCACATATGAGTTGTCTACTCTGTAATCTTATAAATGTGGTTTTTGACTTGCAGTGTGTCACAACCGCAAACGGTTTCAAGCTTACTCACTCTGTCACTGCATTTTAAGCTTTTATTTCACCAGAGAAGAGCTCTTGGGAGCGACCTACTCCGTTATGGATCTTCGCCTAGGGTTCTTCACCTTATTAGCTCTCTTACAGGCAACTTCTCTCTCCCACTCTCTCACACCTTTTGCATTTTTACTTCCTTCATTGGTTACGGACCTTCATCAATTGGAATTATGCGCCGAGTTAGTGATGGTTCCCCTGATTCAGTGTATACAATTTGAATTTTGTCTATGTGCCTGTATTTCTTGAATTTCTTTTTATACTATGTGTCGTTGCCGAGAAAATTGAAATAAGGATGAAATAATTGGTTACCAAGAACTTGCTTCAAGATTTCGGAAATGTTGCAGAGTAAGAAGAGAACGCTATGAGTTCTCTGATTCTTCAATGAGATAGGAAGGAAACACGGTTCTTTGTTGATCAACAGCATCGTCTTTTTCATCACGCGGCTCAGACTGTGATCGCTTTACTGACTTGAAGTTGATTTGGAAGTAAGAGAATTAGTACCTGATTTGGTCTGATAGCTAACTTATGTGGTTTTTGTTTTGCAGTTCTTTCTAATTTTATCTTCAGTAGAAGCGGACAATTTGTCCACAAGACTTCTTTTGACATCCAATGCCAACACAGTGGGGTAGTCTTTCTTGACCGTGTCTCTTCAATTCTAAAATCCTGTTTCTTTGTGTATCTACACTACATTACATGAACGTAGTTACAAGACTGAAATTGATTGCTCGTGTTTTTCGATCTGAAAGCGGAAAAAACTTCATTTCCATTTTTTATACAGGGAAAAACATTCCCAGGATTACTGTGCAATGTATGACATTTGTGGAAAGCGCAGTGACGGTAAAGTAGTGAATTGTCCATATGGTTCCCCAGCTTTGAAGGTATTTCTAATTTTATTGTTCATTCATCTGCTCTATATCTTTTTTCTTTTCAAAAGATTTATTTTCTGAAACTCTTTTCATTTAGATTTTTATTCTGTGATATGATATTTGATATTGCACTTTGATTTTCTTTATCTTAAGCATAAAGGTAAAGTTGCATCACATCCTCTAGTTTGAACTTTTAAAGATTTAAATTTGTCTGTCTCTTTTCCCCAGCCAGATGATTTGCTCTCATCCAAGATCCAAAGTTTGTGCCCAACAATTACTGGGAACGTTTGTTGTACAGAAGCTCAGTTTGACACATTAAGGACGCAAGTCCAACAGGTGAATCTTCTATCTTTCTCTCTCTTATTATAGATGCAAGTTCGTCATGGTTCTAAGACTTGAGTTTATCTCACAGTCTCTCACTGTTTTCAAAGATCTTTACGGAATTATGGAAACTAATATTTGACTAGTCATAATTTTCCTTTATACGTGTCTAAATCTTTCTAGTTAATATTGCCACAAAATTTTGAAATTCTGTGCAACATGACTTTAACACATTGTACATTATGGCAGGCCATTCCTTTTCTTGTAGGTTGTCCAGCATGCTTAAGAAACTTTTTGAATCTGTTTTGTGAGCTTACGTGTTCTCCGAACCAGAGTTTATTCATCAATGTAACCTCAGTTAACAATGTAAGATCCTACACATTCCAAGTGCTGTACTTTTGTATGTTCAGTTTTGTTATTTATCATTCTTTTAACCACAAGAAATTTATAAAAGGAGCCTGTTTGATGTTGTTGTTCTTGTATATTACTATTGTCAGTATTTTTAATGCAAATCATAGCCTGCTACCATGTTTCCTTTACAATTCGAATGCTACTAATAGACTTCAATTATTACAACTTACAGGTTGATGGTAATTTGACAGTGGGTGGGATTGATTATTTAATAGCTGATGCTTATGGTGAAGGGTTATATGAATCATGCAAAGAGGTAAAGTTTGGCACTATGAATTCTCGAGCTCTACAGTTCATTGGTGCTGGTGCTCAAAATTTTAAAGGTATTGTACTTTTAAGTCTAACTAAGTATTGTTTCTTCTTACTCATGTCATGTCTATGATTTCAGACCACATTGTTGAATTACAGAAACGGAGAAATATATTATTCCACTCTTCCCATTTCTTTTCATGTTTAAGGTTGTTGCACGTGGATTAAGATATAAATTTGGATGTAAATTTGAACTAAAAACCCTTATTTCATAACATGTGTCTTAATCATTAGTAATAATGAATTAATACTCTAAATTCCTACTTTTCTCTACTAATTCCAATAAGAAATGTGAACTGGTACTAAAATTTCTACTACCTGCCACCATACTTCTTATTTTTATTTACAATAGTATTTCCCACCAAATTGTCTAATTCATGTTTCTCACAATTTTTTCCAAAGTGGTGTAAATAAGTATGGTGTTCTCTATGCATTCCACTTGCTTGTAAACATAGGACAAATAAATTTCAAATAATTCAGAGTTTTTATGTGGAGGATAGTTGAGAAAAATAAGTTAATTTACCTTTGAAATTCTAAAGCATAACAACAAATGGGAAGGAGGGAATATTTCTTCTGAACTTTGAATGATAAAGCCTGAGACTGAAATTGCCTTGCATAATGCTTTTTGTATACTCTGCATGTGTTTTAGCAAAGGTATTATTGCAATACATGTGCAAGACTTCTCCTTAATTATTCTTTTGTCTCTTTGTGTAAACTGGCATGCACTGATGCATTAGAGTTATTGGTTTGTGATTCTTTGTTGCCTTTTGTATCTCTAACATACATGCAATGGTGGAAACAAACTTTTCATCTTGTCGTAGAGTACATTTGTTTTTGTTATTTGTTGAATTTTATTTTCAAGGTTTTTGCAGGATTTTCCTCGTGAACATAATTTGATATGCTCTTATAGCCCTGCCTATGCAAAAAAAAAACTTTTATGACTATCATTACGGTAATTTGACTGACATGTGACACTAGCAGCATAGCAACGTAAATGTTCCTTTTGACAGGGAATTAGTTGTGTAAAGTTATTTTTTAGTTCATTGCTTGAAAGTTTGATTCTTATACTGAGAATACTTTTCCCAGATTGGTTTGCTTTTATTGGTAGAAAAGCAGCCCCTGGTGGTCTTGGTTCACCATACGCAATTACATTCAGGTCAAATGCAACCGAGTCATCTGGCATGAAACCTATGAATGTTTCAACTTATTCATGTGGTGATATTTCTCTTGGCTGTTCTTGTGGTGACTGTCCTTCCTCTTCAGTATGCTCCGTTTCATCTTCAACTACCACCAGTAAGAAGGATTCATGCTCCGTGAAAGTTGGGACTTTAGTGGTAAGCTAGCATATTATAATGATTATGGTATTTACCAGATGTATTTGCTTGTTGTTAATAATGATGAACAAATTGGGGTTTGTGGAGGCTACTGTGTAATATTAACTAACGTGGTTTTACCTTTGGCATTTGTAGGTGAAGTGTGTTGACTTGATTTTGGCAGTCTTGTACATTATACTGATTTGTGTGTTCTTAGGTTGGGGACTGTATCATCGGATAAGAGAAAGAAACCCTACATACAGAACTAAATCAGTGTCTAATGTCATCAGTGATGGTGCCCTGTATACCCGTAACAGGGAGAAGGATGAGAACCTCCCAATGCAGATTCATGTTAGTATGCTACTTTTTAATCTTAGCATATTTGTCTATCATTTCTTTTTTTTCAACTTAAAAGGATAAGTTTTGTTTCTTTTCCTTCCTTATGCATGTTTCTTCAATTCTGACTTTGTTTTAACTGATGTTGATTATAAATAAGATGATGGAAGATGCTCGAGAAAACAGACATGAAGTTCGGCTCTCTGCTGTGCAGGGATATATGACAAATTTTTACAGGTTAGTGTCTATGCTTCAACATATATCATCTGAAGTAGAATGTCATCTGACCTCACTTTTGCAAATAGGAAATATGGATCATACGTAGCTAGACATCCGATTGTGGTGTTGGCTTCATCTATCGCTATTGTTCTTCTCCTTTGTGTTGGTCTAATCAAGTTCAAGGTTGAGACACGACCTGAGAAGGTAAATATCATGTAGTTGCTACACTTTTTGTTTAAAATGCTGTCTCAATTTGTTATGTCTGTACAAGCTTTTCCTGTTAGATTTTGTTAAATTATACAAGTGCAATTGATTTCCATATTTAGTCAATGAATTTTTTCACCTCACTTCTGAAGCTTTTAAGCAACTAGCTGTCTGGTTAAAAAATGTACTGTTTTTTTATTTATTGATTTTCAGTGCTCTTTTTATATATGCAGCACAAGTCTTTTGCTGGTCTTTTTTTTTCTTTTTGGCTCCATTCACTTGAGTTTTTTCCACTTTCATATAATAGAGGAAAGTTTTTGGTTGAAATTTTTTCTAATAAGAGTATCAAGAAATCTAATGTCTGATTGTAATTTTTAATTCAAAATGGGAATTGGGGGGAGGGGGTCATTGAAGATTTGTTTTGCTACAGCATGAAGATGAAAAATGAACAATTAAAATTTGGAAATTTAATGTAATAAACAAACACGTATAGGCTGGGAAGAGGTAGCTTTAACATACTGTTATCATGTGTTATGGTTTACTATCAGGACTACTTGATATCTGAATAATATTTTCTTTTATCTTGATATATGTTTCTCTAAATTACTCGGATTTGGAAAAATAACTTCCTACACTTCTTAGCTCTGGGTAGGACCTGGAAGCAAAGCAGCACAAGAGAAGGAGTTTTTTGACAGTCATCTTGCTCCATTTTACAGAATTGAACAGGTTCTTGTTTTGATCCTCTTTACTTCATCAGTACAATATGCAACAACTCCTCCAAGTGAATTGTTTGCTAATTTTATTTTATAGTCACTTATTTTTTTTCTCTTATGGAAAAAAGATGTATTTGGCTTTAAGATTCCTTATATGCATCTTCAGAGTTTGTTTATCAGTACAATATGCAACAACTCCACCCTGTGAAAGTTTTGCTAATTTTATTTTGTTCAGTTACTTCTTTGCTTCACTCATGAAAAAAAATGTGTATTTCTTATTTATTTTTCTTTCAACTTACATGCATTTCCAGTGAATAACATGTACTGAAAGATAAACTTGTAAGGAACAAAAACTCATTTTTCTCTATTAAAGCTTTACCCTACATGCATTTTTATCAAAAAGGGAATGAGGTGATGAAAATGTATAATAGTATAATTGTAATTCGCTCTTAAGAGGTATGTCAGTTTTCCTTTCATATCTTAATGTTGATATCGATTTTGTTTTCCCAATACTAAGTCAACACTAGTCTTCATTTTGCAACACGAGGCAATTTGAAATAATATTCAGGCTAGACTTTTGCTAATTATCTTAATAAATGACAGCCATTTTTTGTTTACAGCTCATACTGGCAACAGTTCCAGATAATGTAAATAGTACATCACCAAGAATTGTGTCAGAGAACAACATTAAGTTTCTGTTTGAAATACAGAAAAAGGTGTGGGTTACATCTTATAGTACTACTGAAGTATTTTGATCATTATGTTGCATTGAGGGCTTTGCTTTCAGGTTGATGCAATTCGTGCTAATTATTCTGGTTCGATGGTATCTCTGCAAGACATCTGTATGAAGCCACTAGACAAAGATTGTGCCACTCAAAGTGTCCTGCAGGTATAGTTATTGATTTGTAGCCACAAAACTATAATGTTTCTTCATATTTGTTGTAATGAATTTGCATTTTAAAAATTATTAATAGCAATTTTCCCCTTTCGATTAACAGTACTTCAAAATGGANATGTCAGTTTTCCTTTCATATCTTAATGTTGATATCGATTTTGTTTTCCCAATACTAAGTCAACACTAGTCTTCATTTTGCAACACGAGGCAATTTGAAATAATATTCAGGCTAGACTTTTGCTAATTATCTTAATAAATGACAGCCATTTTTTGTTTACAGCTCATACTGGCAACAGTTCCAGATAATGTAAATAGTACATCACCAAGAATTGTGTCAGAGAACAACATTAAGTTTCTGTTTGAAATACAGAAAAAGGTGTGGGTTACATCTTATAGTACTACTGAAGTATTTTGATCATTATGTTGCATTGAGGGCTTTGCTTTCAGGTTGATGCAATTCGTGCTAATTATTCTGGTTCGATGGTATCTCTGCAAGACATCTGTATGAAGCCACTAGACAAAGATTGTGCCACTCAAAGTGTCCTGCAGGTATAGTTATTGATTTATAGCCACAAAACTATAATGTTTCTTCATATTTGTTGAAATGAATTTGCATTTTAAAAATTATTAATAGCAATTTTCCCCTTTCGATTAACAGTACTTCAAAATGGATCCCAAAAATTTTGATGATTACGGGGGAGTTGAGCATCTCAATTACTGTTTCGAGGTACCAAATGTTAACTTTACATCTTCAAGTGGATTGTAGTTTTAGTTATTCTTAATTCTACTGTTGTTTTACATATTCTTCACTTTACAATATGCTTTAATTTCTTGCATAGAGTAATTAGAGATGTAGAACCATGAGAAATAATTGGAATACCTTCTTGGTGTGCATTCTACTAAATTTTAAATTTAATATCACGCAAGTCAGTAGCTGATAAACTCGTTGATGTGGATTTGACTGGCTGCACTTTAGATGATGCAAGTATATTTATACAATTGATTAGAATAGTAATGGTTGAAATTATGATATCGCAAACATCAAAATTATTAAATCTCAATCCTAGATTTTCTACACAATGATTATAACTGCACTGTTATCTAAAATGCACATCCTTATTTTAGAGGAGTCAATAATGTAATTTCAAAATGACCTAATTATTTTCTAATGTTGTGGTCGTTCAGCATTATTCCTCAGCAGACCAATGTATGAGTGCATTTAAAGCTCCTCTTGATCCAAGCACTGTATTAGGAGGATTTTCTGGAAATGATTATTCAGGGGTACTCTCTCTTTCCTTCTATATTGTGAATGATTGGGATTCTGTTGAACATATGATAACTACAATGTGATTTATTCAAGACAGGCATCTGCATTCATTGTAACTTATCCAGTAAATAATGCTGTTGATAAAGAAGGTAATGGAACAAGAAAGGCAGTTGCTTGGGAGAAGACCTTTGTTCAGCTGGTGAAGGTTAGTATCCTGTATATGGACTGCAGTTAGGCACCATTAGTCCCACCTTGCTAGTCAACAATCAACTGTATATTTTAAAGCTTTGGTTGCCAATTTGGTTGAGCAGAAATAACTGCTTTAGGTTGCTGCAATTTCATCCATTCCTAGGAAATACTTTATACGGGTATGATTCCTGATGAGTATTAGTGTTCACATTTGTATTTTAATTTACACATTCCATAACTGGGTCCAAGGTCTTCCTTTGTGGAAAGTACAAAGGTGCATTAAATGTTTTAGTTATATGTTTGTTTGTCCTTTGTGATGTTATATGGTCATGTATAATGGAATCAGGCCATTACAATTTCTAGCACTAATTCTAGTTTTCCTGATTTCCTGCATCTATGGTGTCCTTTATGATAGGATGAACTGTTACCAATGGTACAATCGAGAAATTTGACGCTAGCTTTTTCATCTGAAAGCTCTGTTGAAGAAGAGTTGAAAAGAGAAAGTACTGCAGACGCTATTACTATATTGGTAATATTATGCTTTCTATTGTTGACACATGCTTGTCCTTAGTACTTTAATTTTTCTTTTGCGTGAGGCATGATTATGGATTTATCTCAACAAGTTCTATGTCATGTATTTCCAAAATTAAAATTTTCTTTTTGTAGGTGTAATTTGTTTAATTCTTCTGTTGTACCTTATTTTATTGCAGGTTAGCTATCTTGTGATGTTTGCTTATATATCTCTTACTCTAGGGGATACACTGCAGCCTTCATTTTTCTATATTTCTTCAAAGGTGCTGTCTCAACCACAATATCAAGCCACCTTTCCTCCACTTCAATTTTTTTTTCTGTATCTTCCTCGCTCCTAATCCCTTCATTGTATTTACTTATGTAAACCTTTCTGATTTTAATCTCATTGAATAATTTTGGATTACAGGTATTACTACTTTTTTTCCTTTCTGAGTCATTCCTGTTTTGTTGTCCTGTCCTTGTGTCGGTTGCTTGGTTTAGTGTTCTTGGTGTAAAATCTACTCTCTGATCATCATGGAAGTTACCGCTTTCTTGTCTAGCTGTAATTTTTGTTTAGCTTAAAAATATAGAAATTATGGCTATTAATGAAACTATATTTATAATTATTTTTTTTTAGTTGTATGGGTATTGTGTTGGTGGTAATGTTATCATCATTTTTCTTTCGTCCGTGAAATTAGTGTTTATTTATTTATTTGCTCAAATTAGTATCTAGATCTGTTTATTCCCCAGGAAAATATGATGTTTTACATATACCTCTTTTTTTCATTTGTATTTTTCATATTTCATTATCCAAAATCAAAAGCCTATAGAGTATTTCCTTTGATTAATTTGCTGTAAACTTTCACTTTTGGTGGTAAGTTACAATACGGCAAGTTTCATTCCATCATTTCATCTCAATCATTTCATGATGTTGAAAGGAATTCTTCATTTGTATAAGAGTAGAAAATGAGGAATCAAGTAAAAAGTAGTGAGGAGGCTTCCCTTAATGTTTAGAGACAAAGATGTGAAGTAAAGTGCGGCATGTTGTTTGTGAACATGATCAAAAACAACAATAGAATGCCTACCAAAAATTATCTTTAATCTTAGTTTTGCTCTAAAGCCAGATAAACAAAAACCATAATCAATGAAACTAAAACTGGGGGGACTTTTCTTCTTCAAATTATTGTTTTCCTGGCTATATCCCAATTGTCCATTTGATTGCTCAGTGCATTTCTGCCATCATTAACTTCTTATAGAATGTTTGTGTACTACCAGAACAACAGTATATTACCCAGTGACTGGTTCTGTAAAATCTGTATATTTATATTCAATTTACCACTTATTTTTTTTAACCGTTCTGCACTTCCTGTTTTTTCTTTTGAATCTTCTAGGTTGGGGTGGATAATATGTGTATACTAGTTCATGCGGTAAAAAGACAACGACTGGAGTTGCCCTTAGAAGAACGATTAAGCAATGCACTTGTTGAAGTTGGACCATCAATAACCTTGGCCAGTGTTTCAGAGGTTTTAGCATTTGCAGTTGGGAGTTTTATTTCCATGCCTGCAATCCGTGTGTTTTCCATGTTTGCTGGTAAGTTTTTATCCTCTTGGAAATTTATACCTTTGCTTCTGTCACAGTTTTTTGTTTAGTGTCTAATGCTAATCCTTAGCTTTCCTTCTCACTTTCATTCACAGCATTGGCTGTTCTTTTGGACTTTTCTCTCCTGCAATTTATTGCTTTTGTTTGCTTTGAA